TTTTTGTGAAACATGACCTAAAAGGTGTTGAATTGTTGAAATAGAGAGGAAAGAATAGAAATTTATACCCATTCTTCACAGAAATGACAAATATCTTAGAAATTTCTTCTTACATTTATGACAGAAGATATATCTCCATAATCTATATACATATACGAATGTTTTTCTTTAATTATATACTCGGTTCATCGAGGTAGAAAAACGGTGAATTAACGTACTATTGCTTCATCATTCATCTACAGTTGCATCCTTCCCTAGAGAATATACTGAGTTAAGGGTACCTAATAAAGTACCCTGATACCAGTATGTCACAGGAACTTTTGGGTACCAAAGTACTTGCAGGTACTTACAGTTACCTAAGTGGTACTTTGGTAAGTACCCTGCTGGAAAATGCACAGTAATTGGGTACCTAAAGGTACTGATCAAGTACTGAATTGGGTATCACTGTATAGTATTTCTAAGTACCCTGTTACCAAATTTTCAGTATGTTCAGGATCGAACCTGATCTTTGACTTTTTAAAATTTTTTCTTTTTCTTGAGATAATTTACTAGATTTTTTTACTTTATTCAATTTAATTTTTTCAATTCCAAAAACTTAGCAGGAACAATGTTGGAATCCGACTCAACTTGAGTTGGTCGTAGACCACTTCAGGGTAGTCCGATCTTAATTTACCATCAAGCTCGCATTTCCTCGACTAAGAAATAGTCAAGAAATAATTTAGAAAAAACTAGTATGAAAATTGATTATTTTCTTATGATTTATCGAGTTGTTTATATAGAACCGTACGTAAAAAAGAAAACAGTGAATGAATAGTCGCCACACAGAACGCGAAAAATTTAGGATACCCTGTCGAGATTTCCTCAGTAAAGTTACAGACTTGTGTATCCATGCAGGTACTTATTCAGTGAATGTACTTTTACGGGTACCCCAAACAGTACATACATCAGTAAAATTACTGAGAATTTTCAAAGTACCCATACTGGGTACCCTGCTGGAGCTTTCTCAGTACATGGGTACCCTGAACTCAGTACTTTCTCTAGGGTTGCTATACTTCTTCATTATCATTAACAATAAATAAATGACATGCACCCTTCAAAAACTATACAAAATTATTGTCAAATTCAAGTGTATATGCCTACTGGAATGTAACTAACAATCTGACTGAGCTACAAAACTACAAGCACTTTATAAGCAAAAGTTAGCAGTATATTTTTGGAGCAAATACTATAAAAACGACTCCTTTTTATCACAAAAAAAAATAAATCTCCTGATAAAAGCATCGGAGCTTTTACAACAAAAGTTCAGGGTTCAAAATATTGTATTTAATAAGCTAACCGAAATTCATTTTTCATTTATTTATGTTTCCTTAACGCTGATATCAGAATTCGTGTAGTAGTTTATACGTCTGAAGCAGCAATACTCCGATTTGGTCATCATATTCATCTTTTTTTTGAGGGTGTGGGTGTGGGGTGTGTGGGTGTGGGTATGGGTGGGTGTGGGGTGTGTGGGTGTGGGTGTGGGTGTGGGTGTGGGTGTGGGTGTGGGTGTGGGTGTGGGTGTGAATCTTTTCTTTAACAAGAACCCACACCCACCCACACCCCCACCTCCACATCCACCCCCACCCCCACCTCCACACCCACCCACACCCACACCGACCCACCCACACCCACCCACACCGACCCACCCACACCCACACCCACACCCACATCCGTGTCTTTTTTATCTTCTATTGTCTATCGCTTCTCCAACTAAATAGAGAAAAGCTAAAGCTTTTCGGAATTTTGTTTTTTATTTCGAAGGTATAGGTTCGGGTTTAGATATAAAAAATATACGCCCATCCACTCTCCGACATCCTAAAAAAATCAATGGGGAATGAGAAAGTAAATAGCAAGTTTTTCATAAATAGTTCGTATGTCATTATAATCAACGAACTCATAAGATTAATAATGTACTTTAAGATGCCGATTGCATAATGATAAATGTCTCAAGTCTTGTGTTTCAGCATACATATCATTTGCAAGGTCATCACGTCTCCTAATGTTTAGCTCAGTAAGTGACTAAATGAGAAAAAGAAGGATATTTGCTGGTGTGAGAGAAATAACTATATAAGATATGACTACTTTATTTGTTAATAGTGCATCAAAAAGAAGTTCCGTGCTGTGGTAACTGATATTATGATCTTCAATATTAAGTTTCTTGAGTGTCTATTCGAAATAAAAACATTTTAGATACATAAAAAAAGAATATGTTAATACAAACTGTATTGATTCTTAATGCATCCGCTATAGATTTTGCTCCTGCGTGGTTAATTTTATTTTTACATAAATTTAATGAAATTAGTGTCTTTATTCAAAGTTAAAATTGTTCATGAGGTAAACTTAATAAATACCATACTTTATTCGTTTTTAACGCATCAGCCAAGAACTTTACTCCTTTATCATCAACATCATTTGATTCAAGATCAAGAGTCGTAAGTGTCTATGTTAAAAAATCAAGATCTCTAAAAACAATGATAGATTAATTACTGTGTTTAGTTTTAATGCATCACCCAGGTATTGCAATCCTTCATCCAAAATACAGTTCTTCTTAAGATTCAAGTCTTTCAATCCCTACATGAAAATGAGAGAATCAAAAACAAGAATAATAACAAATAAATACTTTGTTAAATTTTAATGCATTAGCTATATATTTTGCTCCTTCATTTTGAATTTTATTGTATGAAAGATTCAAACAGGCGAGTGTCTGTATGCAAAACATGAATGAAAGGAAGAATTAGTAATGAAATTCAATTACATGATTATCCTTTAATAAATCAGCTAAATGTTTTGCTTCCGCTGGTCCCAAATCATTACGTTCCAAGTTTAATTCAGTAAGTGTCTATATAAATTAAAGCAGCAATATTGGCTAAATCAGTTCGTTAAACGAAGATATTACTTTGTTATTTCGTAATCTGTCTGCGAAATACTTCACGTCATTATTTTTAAATTCGACATTTAAGGTAATCTTCGTTAGTGTCTATGACGAGAAAAAAATCAGATTATATATATAGTAGTGAAGATTATTTACCGTATTATCAGGTAATATATCTGCAAAACATTTAAGTCCTGGAAATGGTTTGTTCGTGCTCCAGCAATTGATTGAAGTGAGTGTCTATGTGATAAAACAATGACTAAGATGAAAAGTAAAGAATATATAAATCTTACTTTATTTTCTGATAATGCATTGACCAAGTGTTGAAATTCTCTTTCTTTTGTATCAGAAACAAGTACTTTTAGTGAAGTGAGTGTCTATATGTTGAGCAATGAAAGTAAAAAATGAGAGACTTTTATAAAATGAAATCTTACTTCGTTCACTTTTAATAAATCTGCTAAACAATTCCAATCATCGTCTTGCATCGGATCAAATACCATGTCAAATGACGTAACCGTCTGTTTGAGTAAAACAATGAAAAAATATAAAATAGGTATTAATAGAAAAGTATCTTCACTTTATTATATTTGAATGCTTTTACAAAATACTGTACTGCATTTGGTCCAATCTGACCAGTTGAAAGTTTTAATTTTGTTATAGTCTTATTTTAAAAGAAATATAAATATAAATGAAACAGGTTCATAAAGAATCTTATAATTACAGTGTTAGCTTTTATTGCATCAGCAATAAGTTTTATTCCTTGTTCTCCAATTGTTTTCCAAAAATGCTCGAATTTTTTGAGTGTCTAGACAGAAGAATGAATTAGTTCGTCAAAACTATGTTGATAATCACTTTGTCATTCTTTATTCGAATTGCAAGATCAATGACTGCACAGTCCTCATCTAAATTATCTTCCAGTTTGAGTTCTGTAAGTGTCTAATTATGAAGAATCCACACATGAAATAAGTCAATTAAAAACGATGAAAATAATTTACAGTATTTGCTTGAAATACTGTAAACATATACGCTGCTCCACTAATTGTGATCTGATTTTTTGCTAGATAAAGATCTTTAAGTGTCTATACAAAACAGTAAATACAGATATAGCATGAATAAAACTTAAAAGATACATACCGGGTGACATTTTAAAGCATCAGCTAGATATTTTGCACCATCATCTGTGATGGAATTCTTTGAGAAATTCAATCTAATGAGTGTCTATAAGAAATATTAAACATCGATATTATAGGCAGATGAATGAATACTATGGTACTGACTGTATAATTGCACAATGCATCAGCTAGATGTCGTACGCCTTCATCAACAATCTTGCAATCGCTGAGATCTAATGTAGTTACCATCTATATCGACAAATAAAGGTACATATTAGCGATTGATGACGGGGCACAATATTCCTTACTGAATGAAGTTTTAATTCATCAATCCAGAACATTACAAATTTCTTTGTTATTTCATTGCAATATAGCGACAATGTATTGACTGTCTAGAAAGCAACGTAAATATGTGAATAAGAATAGTTTTAAACCTCTGAAATTGAAACAAACAAGTGAAATAATGCTTAGAAAAGAAACAATAAATATACTGGAATTTGTTTTAGCGATCTAATGGTTAAAATTCTGAATTTTACGTATAAGGAAAATAATTACTTTATCATTACGTCTTTGTATTATAGCATTACAGATTTTGATGTATTTGTTTTCGGAATTTCGATTGTCTTTTGTAACAATATTAATAAGTGTCTGAAAATGTTTAATGTTTGTATTTAAGACTTAACAATAAACTATTTTACTTCATTGTATTTCAGGGCTTCCAACAAAAATTCTGTTCCCCACAAATCAATCTTATTAGAAGAAAGAATGAGACTCGTAAGTACCTATAAGCATAAAGACAAGAACTATGCGAATTATTAAGAATAATAAAAACAAAATTACTTTATTGGTTCTTAATGCATCTGCTAGAAATTTTGCTCCATTGTACCCAATCGTGCCGTTTTCCAAATCTAATTCGTTCAGCGTCTATTATATATATAACAAAAGAAAATTCTCGAAGTATTGATTATAAATGATATGTATAATTCACTTGATTTGTAGATAATGCACGAGCCAAATGCTCAGCACCTTCATCTCCGATGCTACTATTATGAAGTCGTAGGACTTTGAGCGTCTTTAACAGAAGTGAATATTGTTATAAAATAAAAAAACGGAATAAATTATATATTACTGAATTTCTCTGTAATACGTTGGACAAATACTTAGCCCCGATGACTGTTACAGTAGATCCAGAAATGTCAAGGTTTGTAAGTGTCTATATGGAAATTCAAACTGAATGGTGTGCGATTAGTTTTAAATCAATTAACTTCGTTAGTATATAATGCATCAGTCAAATGTTTTACATCTTCATCTTGTACACCACAATAAGCAATATTCAATCTTGTCATAGCCTACAACACAAAATGATAATAAATATTAGCAAAACATAATTTAATATATTACTTTATTAACGCATAATGCAGCAGCTAGTTCTAATCCAACTTTCTTGTAGCTATTACTTGACATATCTAATTCTGTAATTGTCTGTAATTAGGAGAGAAAATAATAATTTTATGTGAGTTAATTCTACGTCGAATAGTTATATATTACTTCATTAACACACAATGCATCAGCTAAATGTTTTATTCCATTTCCGTCGAATTTATTTCTTGAAATATCTAATTTTGTAATTTTCTGTAATTAGGAAGGAAAGCAATAATACTTTTGAGAGTTAGTTCTATATTGAATAGTTATATATTACTTTATTAACACTCAATGCATCAGCTAAATGTTTTAGTCCATCATTGTTGATTTTAGTGTCAGTGAGAACCAATGTTACAATAGTCTATTTTAAAAAATCGATACAATAATACGAGAAATATACACTTAGTAAGTCATTACTCTGTTCTTGCACAATCCATTAGCAATATATTGCATCATAGTTGATCTAAGATCTGTCTTTGTAAGTTTGAATAAGGTAATTATCTGTACAAAAATCGGCTGGATCAATAAGAATATGGAATTAGATAGTTAAATTTACATGATCTGTTTGCAATGCACGACCCAAGCTACATAATTCGTTACCGGTAAATTTTCCATAGAAAATGTCAAATGTAGTAGATACCTGTGTGATGAAAATTTAGATAGAGTTTAGTAGTCTAAAAAGTATATATGAACGAATGTAGAACAAGAAGGTCAGTTCCTATTTTCTCCATTTCACTCAATGGACAACAAGCACAAAATATCAATGAATAATGGTCAATCTAATATGCTTGAAATACTTTCAGTATACCTGTGATTCATCAGCATTGTAGGTTCTATACTTCGGTTGCTGAACGATTGAATACATATTATCTTTTGATGATAAGCTGCATCTAATGTATTCATATTTATCATCGATCTCGCAGATAGGTGTTGTGTAGAGCCGAAGAATTGACTCTTTTAGGTCGTAATCAGCACAAAAATTCCAATGCTTTTTGTTAACCCAGAATGTGGTTTGTAATGGTGTAATGATCGATTCAAGAGCAGGACTTGCCTTACCATAGTAAAGTTTATAGCTGAAAAAAAGTTGTAACTTTTTCAGTGAAGGTAGCTTAGTCTCAATGATTCGTTCCCAAACAGAGCCATCAAATGCAGAGTTAAGTTCTCTTTCAGATGATATTACTTTCAGATGAATCAGTGACGGTGTTAATAAAAGGATTAATTCGAGAGCGTTCATCGACTCTTTGAATTTAACGATCGACAACGACGTTAAGTGTTGGTAGCCTATAAATAAGAATTCAACTTATATATTAGTGGCGTAATCAGCATGTTTTAGTATGTAAAATCTCCGTTTCCGTCTATGAACCCTCAATCGAACTAACGAAAAATCATGTTGAATTTAAATGATGAGGTGCTATTAAACAACTGAAAACATCATTAGAAATAAAGGTTTACTCATCTAAAGCGGAAACTGAGCACATCCCAATTTCTCAGCTATGTAATAAAGATCTCCCACCGTAATACATAGATAATAAACTCACTGTGCGTTTCTACAAGAGCTTGTGAAGTGGAAACAGGCACCAAAGTTTCTTCACTCTTGTCCTTGACCCCAATATTGTTGACGATAAGTACTCGTAAACAAGGCAATTTATCCAGAATGAAACGATACTGTTTATAAGAACACTTTTCTAATTTTAAATGCTGCAATACGCATTGCTTCGGCCAATCGATTCTTCCAACAAATATACATTCGTATATTTCAAGTTCTGAAATGTTGATGTGAATGGCAGACTGTACTATGCTTGGAACCGCTCCTCCGTATTTTTTGTCTGATCCAATAAATGAAACCGATCGTAAGGTTTTTGTTGGTATCTGTTTCATAATTAGATCCACTTCTTCACTTTGAACATTATAAAAATACAAAGATTGAAGTTGAGTGAATGAATCCAATTTGAATAGAGACAAGAACAAAGTTATTGCGCCATATCTGTGATAATAATAGTCGACGAAAATGATTAGTGAAATGACACTTTCAGGTCGAATAATGCGAGAAATAGGTATTAAATCAGACTTATATCTCAAGTTCAGACTAAGCTTAAATCTATTATAAGTGTTGATGGTATCGAAGAATTGTTTGCAAACGACACGAACCGTTAGAAGTATGGTGTCCATATTAAGATAATCAAAAATACGATGAATAAGTTCGGGAGCCAGATCAACTAATGATTTGTCCGACATGACCGTATAAAATAAAATCGGATGAAAAATAAAATGAGTTGTTGTTTTATAAACTGATCGTGTAATTTCAATCACTATATGAACACCAACTACAATTTAGAAGTCCATCGTGTATTGTGCTTTTATTTGAATTGTTTGTTGACTTTTATTCGATGTTCTTACAGTTTTATCTAAAAACAAGATGTACACGCTCGTACATACAATTGAGAAGCAAAATATAACGACTGTCTTTGCTATGGTCGTTTTATATAGTCACAGAAAGAAAAAGAACGGATTGATTACGGTTGTGACAGACACACTCGTTATATTTCTTCGTGTATTCTCTTTTTTTCAGTATTTTGTTTTTCTCCATTTGCATTCTTTTCACATTGTTTTTCGTTCTCTTTCACTTTCTCCCATGTTTTGCTTTTATTCTTTCGAGTTACAGATAAGCAAAAAAGAAATATCCAATACATCAGTAAGAGTGTGAGTTCTCCCAATTGTATATCGATTTCACAATCACAACCAATAACATGTGACGTTTATAAACAGAAGAGGAACATACTGTTAACGATGTAGCATGTCATCATTCTGTCTGGAACTCTGTGTCTATATTCCCTCTTTCTATCCTTTGTGTACGTGCATATATATGTGTGTTTCTTTTTTCTATCTGTATTCAGTAACAACATGTGTTCGTGTAAGTATGTGTCAAGTGGTGGATGATAAAACTTGTCAGCGTCCAAACTGAGATTACGTCCAATCTCAGATTGGCCTAGGCGAATGTCGGATCCGAGATTGGACGCGTCCAATCTCGGAAGTCACGCAATTCTGTTCATTCAAATATCAATTACACTTTAAACAGACCTTGGATTCAAACTTTTTTTTTGAAATTATGTTCACACAATGCCGTTTTAAGTATTACAAGCATTTAGGAAGAAGCTACATTTAGACTCAAAAATGTAATAAAAGTTTTTCATAAAAGTTGTTGTTCTCTAGAAATTTATTCATAACTCCTAAAATTTTATTCAAATCTGCCAAATGACAATTGTGCCAAACAAACTGGCATTGTGTGAACATAACTCAAAAAAAAAGTTCGAATCTAAGGTCTGTCTAAAGTGTAATTGATATTTGAATGAACAGAATTGCGTGACTTCCGAGATTGGAAGCGTCCAATCTCGGATCCGACATTCGCCTAGGCCAATCTGAGATTGGACGCAATCTCAGTTTGGACGCTGACATATACTTATTCATCAGAGAGAGAACGATAGAAAAGATAGTAAGGACAGAAAAAATGCTAGTACCTATATCCATATAAGGACAAATATCTTTCAGAAATGGTTAAATGGTCTTAACATCGTACCATGGCAACAGTCAGGTGTAAGAGCACACCAAAGTACTATCTCAAGAGTAAATCATCTTCTCGAACAACTGACAAGCTCTCTTCGGTATAATACTTTTACTCCAGTCCTTTTTGTTGATTTTAAACAAGCTTTTGATATGCTTTGGCAGCAAGGTCTGCTCCTCAAGCTTAATCGTTTAAACTGCCCAATCCTATACCTTTTATGGATTACTAATTACTTCAAAGATAGATCAATGCTTATAGACCTTAATGGTCTTTTATCAGACGATATCACAATAGCCAGAGGCGCTCCACAAGGAAGTGTCTTTGGGGCTACAGCTTATATTATAGCTCACTATCACCTTCAACAAATTTTCGAACGCCCTGAGAACAATCACCTTTATGTAGATGATTTGGGCAGCATATACCAGAGATGGAACCGGTACCGGTTACCGGCCGGTCCGGTCCGGTACCGGTCTGGGTTTTGGATCTACCGATCCATACCGGTAGACCGGTATGGACCGGTATACCGGCCGGTCCGGTCCGGTCTACCTTTCTCCAGACCCGCACCGGTACCGGTCTGAAAAAAAGTGGACCGGTTCCATCTCTGGCATATACATCCCAAGCATTTACTGTGATTATAGGAATCAATTAATCGATATAGAACAGCGATTGAATAAAGACAAAAATTACATGAATATGCAAATCAATGGCATCAACCTGTTAATAACAAAAAGACTCAATTTGTGGTATTTACCAAAATAGTTAACTATCCAAAATTAAAAATAAATTATGAAGGGTGTCCTTTAGAACAAATAAAATTTTTTAAGTATTTAGGATATCAATTAGATGCAAGAATGTCTTTTAAGCCTTTGGTTGATGGTCAACTTGAAAAATGTCGTCAAACATATTCTATCTTAAAACACATTCATCGCCAATTCGCGTCTTTTTATAAACTTAAATTACGATTCTTCACCACTTACATATGGTCACATCTTTTTGCATTAGCATCAATCTATTGTCTCCTCTCAGACTCTTTGAGAGAGAGAATCAATAGTTTTTATAGACGTTGCCTGCGAATGATTTATCATCTTTTTCAATGCTCTACTATTGACCTTCATAGAAAATTTTCACTTCCTACATTAGAAGAAAAATTTTAGAAAAGTCTACTAAAACGACTTCATAATATTGAACGATATGAACAAGAGTTAATTGCTTGTTATATAATGAACAAAAACGTCATTAATGTAACACGTCACCACTATACGGAAAAATCCTGTATACAATCACTCCCGAGAGGCCGACCTAGCACACGTATAACCAATTTTTATCAAAACACCACGACTTACTTTGACAATCTTTTGCAATTCGCTCATCAGCTTCGATACAATCAATCACCACAATTGAGAACTGATACGTCTCCCTCTTTATAGCCTTAAATCTAAGTGGCCAGGACCGATTAAGTCCATCCACTCAAAATAAAGCACTT